TGTATGTGGGATCCGAACCCTCGGCGGGAGCGCAGCTGCGCTTCCCAAGCGGCGCACTAGCACAGTGTGCCACCGGGCCGGCCCTGTGCTGAGTGTTTACAGACATTTCCTCATTTAACCCTCATGAAGCCTGAGAGACTGAGTCTCCTATGCTTATAGATGAGGAAATTCAGAGTTAGTGGGATAAGTAATTCATCCAATATCAGCTCACTTGGTAGAAGCAGTATTTGAACTGAGTCATTCTGGTCTCCAGCACCCTCACTCTTGACCTTTGCTACCATATGTTCCTGTGTGTCCCTCTATCCCATTTGTGCTGGGATCTTCATTCTCTTCCTCTAACTCTAATCATCCCTTTAGTGTTGGCTTTGTCAGGCATCTGGTGCCTTTTTCTTCTTTTAACTCTTAAGTATTCTCCAAGGGTGAATCTCCCCATGCTTACTCCCTCCACTTCAACCCAGTGCCCACTTTCTTTATCTGGCAACTACTCTGGCTTCTCCATTAGGACCCAGCTCAAGGGACACCCCTTCTAGGAAGCCTTCCATGATCTCTTTTTCTTTTCAGTCTTGTTACATGCCACTTCTGTACACTTTCTTAGCACCAAGAGACATCAATTCTTGGAGCAAATGCCTTCTAGACAGTGACATTAAAATTCTGTCGTCCTTTTCCTGTTCTGGATTGTGAAGTGGGGGTGTCTCCACTCCAGATCGTCTGCCCTCCAGATTTTCCCTTTAATGGTGTCAAGGGGACAAGGACCATAAAAAGTAATTGAAAACTTGAGTTATAGAGATATAAAAACACAGCAAGTATCAGAGGTAGTATTTTCATCTTCATTTTCCCATTAAAGTGTTTATCTTGTGTCTTCTATATTGCATAACTGAAAGTCCTCCCCTCTGTCTATTGGATTCCCTTCAGGTGACAGAGCACAGCTTCAAACCAGAGAGCCAACCGCTTGTCTGCCGGTCTTCTCTGAGGGAGCCCTTCTCCAGGGAAGCCTGACTCATGGATTTTCAAGGGACTTCAGACTGGGAAAATCTAGGGATAAGGAAGGGCTTTTGAAAATGCAGAAAAGTCAGATGAAACTGGGGACAGACACCCACAAGGAGACCCATACTGGGAAAATGAGCCTTGAGGATGATGGTTTGGAGACAGATGATCATCTACACTCCAGGGCGTTACAGGAGCAGGTCTCTTCAGGGGATATTCTCCATGAACATGACTCACAACGACCAGAGAAAGATGCCTTGATTCATGCAGGGACAAACCCCTACAAATGCAAGCAGTGCGGGAAAGTTTTTAACAGGAAGTGGTATCTTGTTCGACATCAGCGAGTTCACACTGGAATGAAGCCCTATGAATGCAACGCGTGTGGGAAAGCCTTTAGCCAGAGCTCAACCCTTATTCGGCACTACCTCATTCACACCGGGGAGAAACCATACAAGTGTGTTGACTGCGGGAAGGCCTTCAAACGCAGGTCATACCTCATGCAGCACCATCCGATTCATACTGGAGAGAAACCCTATGAGTGCAGTCAGTGTCGAAAGGCCTTCACCCACCGTTCTACTTTTATTCGCCATAACAGGACCCACACTGGAGAAAAACCATTTGAGTGCAAAGAGTGTGAGAAATCCTTTAGCAACAGGGCACACCTCATTCAACACTATGTCATCCACACTGGAGAGAAGCCTTATGATTGCGTGGAGTGTGGAAAGGCCTTCAGATGCAGCTCAGAACTCATGCAGCACCAGCGGATTCACACAGGGGAGAAGCCCTATGAATGCACCCAGTGTGGAAAAGCCTTTCACCGGAGGACGTACCTCATTCAGCACTCTGTCATTCATACTGGGGAGATGCCATACAAGTGCATTGAGTGTGGGAAGGCCTTCAAACGCAGGTCACACCTCCTGCAGCACCAGCGCATCCATACTTGAGAGAAACTCTATGGGTGCAGTGAAGATAGAAAGGCCTTCCCCCACTACTTCTTTCATAGTGGAACCTGCACTGGTCAGCTCTTCTTAACTAAACATATGAGCAGTCACACTGGAGAGAAGCCCTGTGAATGCAGTNTCAGCTCTTCTTAACTAAACATATGAGCAGTCACACTGGAGAGAAGCCCTGTGAATGCAGTGAATGAATATAAGAAAGCCTTCAGCTGCTGCTCAGCCCTCACTGATCACAGAAGAATTCATATCAGAGAGAAATAAGGAAGGCATTTAACCAGTGGGTCCACCTCCATCAAAATCAGAGAAATCATGCAGGAAAGACATTCTGAAAATAATACTAAAGACAGTTATTAGCCAGAAGAAAAATCTTATTTGCCATCTGAGAATTTACATCATGTAATTGTCGTCATTGTGAAAAAACTTTTCTATGACAGATCATCACTTGTCATGTAAAGAGTCATATTAGAATTTGACCCACCTTAGGATATACACTGTAAACTTATAAAAACATCAGGCACAGGTCTCTGCTTGTTACACTGGAAAATCATTATAGCATTATTTCTGAAAAAAAAAAAAA